GAAGCCTCTCACCGTCCCTGAGCCTCTGGCCTGTACCCCAGTTCTGTATGCACAAATAAATAAATGTTAAAAATAAATAAATAAGTAAATAAATAAATAAATAACTCCCTCTTGGATTCTACACATTTTGTTCAGGTAACGGTGTATCTGTGTGCCAGTGATCAAAGTCTGTAATTAGGAAAAAAATTCAAAATGCAGCTCTGTATCCCGAAGGATTCTTACCTCAGTGGGCTTTTTCAACCCCCGTGAGATGTTTTTATTTACTTAAAGTCCCCTTTCACAGATCTATGAGGAATTTGATGGAAAGATATACAAACTCTAAGTGGAAAATACACACAGAAATGCATTTTTCATGTTTTGAAAGGATTAGAAATAGCACATCTAATATTTCACTTGAAGGAAAGCAAGAAGTGCTCATCACAAAACCATGTTTAGCAAGACACCAAGAGTCCAGAAAACTACATTGCCTCAACTGCAGCGCATCTCTGTGTGACAAAATCAATACACACACCCACAACCCTGACGACTGAGAGCAAAGGGTTGGTGTTAGGCCCACAACCATTCCTGGCTTAGTTTCCTTGTCAATAAAATGAGGCAACGTGACTGGATTATTCTACATATGAAATGAAATATATACCCTAGACACTTAGTAACTAACTTACATTGGACTTCCAAAAATTTATATGTATAATGAAAAAATAATGAGCATTGGTTTCTTTTTTCTTTTTCTTTCTTTCTTTAAGGGGCTATTACATCATCAGTTAACCAGCTACTATACCTGAAAGCTCAGGTCGTTTCCTGAAAGTCAACTCAGCTCCTTCATCCTACTTCACCCTCCCCATCTCTAGTTCAGTGTGGGCATTTCAACCATAGTTCACAACTTCCTTGATGCTTTCTCAAGCATCCAGGCTAAATGCATATTTTGTCAGTAAGATAATTCAGGTTAGTGAGTCAACAGGCAAGATGTTTTCCCTTAACTCTCATTGAATCTCTATTTTCTGATACCCCTGAGGTATTTTAGGAGACAGATGCTGTTAATGTAGCTCTTACTAGTGGGTAAACCATTTCAGTACCTTAGTTCATGTAATATCTTTAAATCTACCTTTACTGAGAGAGGTAAGGTAGAACGGAAGAAAATAATACCAGTATGTTAAAAGTATGTACCCCAGTACACATAGCTAGCCTCACTGTGAAGACAAGAGATTCACTAAGAAGGAGCTGGCATGGTGGCACTTTCTGGAGAAAAGGACAATTATAGAAGTAGAAGTTATTATACAGGCATTTTGACTTTTCCATGATAGATACAACGTGGGTAGGTGATTAGGAAAAGAGACAAATTTAATTAAAATGGGAGGTAGTAAAAACAGAAACAAGGAAATATTTAAATTATTTTATTATTAACTTACTGATATTTATAAATAATGATCTACAGTTCTATGAAAATCATGTTCACTTAATTTTATTCACAGTTCTTTGGAGAGCAATGAGCAGACCTGTATCATGATGAATAAGTAAGGCTTAGAGGAGTAAATGAGTTTATAAACATCCAGCACTTCCTAGGAAGACTCATGATTCTTCAACGAATGTGAAGTCATCAAAAGGATTACAGTTAGTCAGTTTGTCATATGCAGAAAACTATAGTTTACTTGCTTTCTTTATGCCCCATATGAGAATATTTAGTGGCCCACATATCTAAATCACACTGTTATAAATCAATGCTACCTCAATAAAGAAAACAAAACAATAAATAAAAGCAGGATAAAGAAAGAACAATTATTGGACTAAGCTAAGGTACCTGCAAACAAAGAAAACACTCGAAAACTACTCCTGGGTACATACGGGATGTAGATTATATTTTCATCTAGCATAAATTGACACAGTTTAGAAATGTGTGGAACAGAAAGAGCTTAGTGCCCCCATTTTTGAGACAAAAAGTGCACATGAATTAGGTTACAGGCATTGTAAAATATTCACATCATTGTAAAAGAAAATATTTGATTGAAAGTGATAGGAAGAAAATTCCAAGTGTCAACTGTATAAATTAGGAACTCACATCCATTTCACTTCAGTAAATAAAATTGTTGATTCGTCTATGACAATCTGAAATTATTTTTAGTTTATTTTTCCTTTCTATTATTTTACTTTATTGATGTAACACTGCTTTACAACACTATATAATTTTGAGGTATATACAGGTATAAATTATAGAACAGCTTTAACTTTTATAGCTTAGAGTGCAGCTTGAGCTTCTGCCTCATTAAACAGCTGATGGGGCTGTTTTGGAGTCTATTGTAAATACAGATTAATCACTAATTTAGAGTAGATAGGTCCTTCTTGAAAACTGTTCTGAGTAAGTATCAATGAAAGATTTTCTGTTATAACTTGGAGAAAAAGATATGAGCATTCTCCTGAAATGAAGCCCATAGCCTCTAAACAGAATATTGCTGACTACAAGTCAGGTTTTTTAAATACTGTGTAGATAAAATTGAAATTGCATAGTAACCTATGCAGTCAAAAATTTTCTTCTTTAAAGCTATTTACTTCATTGGCCATTCATTAAACAGAGGTTTTGTTTGGATATCAAGTGCTATATCCCATAACATTTTTCAGAATAACTGTTAAGGGTCAAATTTAAGTGAAATTTAATATAAAGTCATGTAAAGATGTGATTACGGCTTGAGTGACAAAGGCAATCAGTGAAAAACTTATTCTTCCAGCTCAAATTACATCTTTCAATTTTATATGATATAATAATGTTGGAATCTGATAAAAGCACTTTGATTAAATTTACTTGATAAAGATCATCTTAACTTTCCTTTTTACAGTTACCCTGTTTATTTTTTAAAGATTTATTTATTTATGCATACAAGAACTTGGGTATAGGCCAGAGGTACAGGAGTAGAGAGAGGATTTACCAGAAAGAGTGGGGAGCAGAACAGGCAGATATACTGAAATACACTGCTGGGGGGAGCAGTGGGGAGACAGGAGAGGTCTGCTGCACGCTGTGAGTCACCCCTTGTGCTGCCATGGCTGCCAATAGTTTGATAGTGCCATGCATTTAACCCCTGCACCACTAGGAAGGCCCTCCATCACCCTGTTTAAATCTGACCTAGAGCCAAGGAAATTCAACTAACACTCAAAGTCTAAGCTTTTCTGTTTTCTTATTTCTTGATAAAATTGTGACACCATCCTTGTCTTAACTTACCCCTTTCTGAATTGTACTACCAAAGTTAATGCCCACGTAGACAACAAATGACCAGTGTAAATATAATTCTGTATAATATCCTACAACTCCAAGGATGGTACAGTACATATACTACTTTAATGATAAATTATGCATGAATATTCTAATGTTTTAATTAGGCATGTTTAAATCACAAGCTGGAATGTGAAAAGTGATGCAAATATGTTCACACACACCGTTTTCTTAGCATGATAGTTTGTTCACCATGATAGGTGAAGTTGTGCTTATTTGCAATGAAGTAACTCATTAAAGAGATGATTAAGCTGTGTGTCACAGAACTTGTCATAACACTGTTTCTATACCTTGGTTATTTTATTGTCACCTGTTTTTATACACTAAGAAAATCATTTTACAAAAAAAGTGCTTGCCACACAAGCTAATTCTGAACCACACCATCAAAAGCTCACCGTTGTTAAGAGCCTCCAATATATCAATGGTTGTTGAGTGGAGGAGGAAACAGACAGGATCCACTCTTGAAAACTGTTTTACCCTAAATCTTTATTTGATTGCATGAATACCATTTGGTTTATGATTGTTGTTGATTTTAGGTGTAATATATTACAGATATGGATAATGTAATATGCCACTAATACAGATCCTTATTTAGAATTGTCCTACTAAAATAATTACAAATACAGTATGTATAACCCTACAATTTGACTTTAAAATGTCAAATGTTTTGAGATATCAGGATTCTCAAAAACTTGCTTTTATATAAATGAACAGGATTTAACAAGCTATATACAGATTTAACTAAAATATCATGCAATTGTACGGGATGTGTGTGATGAAGTATGAATTCATAAAAATAAATTAAAACAGGATTTTTGCTCTCAAGACTTGTATCCTTATATTTCACCCTTTGATAAGAAATTTATATATTCAAGAAGTTTGCTCTAATGCAAGGCAATTTTGTATTAGATGTCATTAGTCACTCACCAAAATGCATCAATTATTAATTATTAGCATTCCAACATCTATTACAATTATTACTCAAACTGAAGTGCCTTGTTTTAATAAACTTTATCTATAAAACAGAATTATACAGATAAATGATGATTAATTCCAAGTAAATCATATCTCTTGAGTTTGACCTTTAAAGGCAAGTTACAAAATATAAATTCAATATTCATTAGAAAAGAGGCCCGCACCCAGCAAAAAATGAATGATTAATAAAGCAGACATACACTGATTTTTATGTACATATTGCAGGTACACAGACATGTCAAATTATACTTTAGAAATAATTTTAAAATTGTGAAATATAAAGTACTGAAGTATAGTATTCAGTCCATTTCTTTCTTATGCTTTCAGTTTCTTTAGAGAAAATTTAGAAACACCTATAAATGTCTGTCTAGAGTCACTGTACCTTTGTTGATTCCATATTTAAAAAATGAGCCTATGAAAAAGAACTCCAAAATTAGAGAGAATAATGTAGCTGATAATTTTCTCGAGAATTATTTAAAAACACCTCAGAAATTGGTACGCCCCATATCCAACACCTCGATATCATTATATAAAAGTTTTAACAGTAGCACAATAGCAGCACCTTTGACCTTTCACTGACATATTTAACATAGCAGAATTATAAAGAATAGTTTACCTTATAATTCACTTCATGAACACCTAGGGATGCATCTTTCTTTATACACTGCTGTAACTGGATTCTGAAGGGAAATAAAGAAACATAAATAAATAACTTTTCAACACTCGTAGCATATAGACTTACACAGTTATGAACATCATAAAACACAGTTACTGTAAATTTCTCCTAACACTCAGGAATCCAACTCATAAAAGCATAATAGGGAATAAAAAGCAAATATACATTTCAAAGAGGTAAAATATTGAGGAACTCAAAAGGCTATATATATATATATATATATATATATATATATATTTTTTTTTTTTTAAATTACTGGCAAGGTTTTTTGACACAGACACCCCAAATAGAACATCAAGTCTCTTAGTTGTTACTTGGATCGTTTTTAACCAGATTGTTTTATCATCACTGAGATTTAAAGGTTCTTAGCATATCTGGAATAACTATCTTTCACCAGATGAATCTTTTACAAATATGTTCTTCCTCTCTGTAACTTGTCTTCTTGTTCTCTTGACATCATCCTCATAGAGTGAACACTTTAAATGTTAATGAAGTTCAGCTTATCAATGATTTAATTTATGTGTTGTGCTTTCAATATAGAACCCAAAATGTTATCACTATGTCCAAACTTATCTCCTCTGTTAGCTTATAGATTTTTCTTTTTGTTTTGCATTTTGTTTAATGCATTTTGAATTAATTTCAGTAATGGAGATACAGTCTCTTTCTAGACCATTTTTTTCTTTGCGTGTTAATATTTAGTTGTTCCACGATCTTTTCTTCAAGCTACTATTTTTGTTTCATTGTCAAAGATCAGTTGAACATATTTATGTTGGTTTATTTCTCAGTTTAGCTAGTTTATGAGTAATATACTGTCTACTGCATATTTATTGTGTATTTTTGATAGTCTATTAACTACATCTTGCCTTTCCATACAATTTTAGGATCAGTTTGGTAACATCACTAAATAGATTGTTGAAAATTTGACTGAAATTCTGCTGAATATATCTCACTGAAACAAACTGAATCCCAACACTATTGTATCTTTCTGTCTAGGAAATGGAATATTTTCACTTATCTAGCTATTTGACTTTGTTCATCGAGTTTATAGCTGACTTTATTTAGCTATTTCACACATTTTATAATATTTTATACCTAAGTATTTGATTTTTTGAATGCATCTGTAAATGGCAGTGTTTCAAATTCCAACTGGTCAGTTGATGAAATAAAGGACAGTGACCGAATTTTCTAAATTAACCTTATACCAACAACTTTGCTGTAATCACTTATTATAAGGTATAGGAGCTTTTGATTGATTCTTTTGTTTTTTCTATGTGGACAATCATAGCATCAGTAAAACAAACAAACAAAAAGAACCTGAAAGCCTGATTTCTATCTTACCAATCGGTATACTTTTTAATTTCCTTTTCTTACTAAAGTAGTTAGAAGCTTCAGTGCAATGCTGAAAAAGACAGGTGAGAATAATAGTCTTGATTTTACCTGATTTTTTGGAGGAAAGCTTCAAATTTCTTACATTAAGTATAACTGTATATCTTCACAGTGTGTTTTTAAAGAGGCATGTAAACTCAAAGTAAAAATTCAGTTCCTTTTTTTTTTTTGCTTTGTTTTAATAATCAGAATTATAGCTAATAATCTCAGTAAGGAGAAATATAAAACCTGTTTTAATAAGTTCCTCTCTGCCCGCTAGGTGAGAGGTTTTCATAAATGGAAACACATATATAAGAAAGGTACTTTTTATCCAGATGTTTAATGGAGGAGAAGCAGAGAGAGGTAAACCTATTTTTTCATGAACTATTCACTCTTTTAATTTAACCATCTTTACTCTACATACAATATTGATTTCAACGAGCTTTCCAATAACTAAATGTTAACAAAAATGGGAAAGTCTCCCATGTAGAAATATATTATACAATGGGGGATGCCAGGAAAAGGGGAGGTTTCAGGTTGCTTGCCCCACCCAAAGGAGGGTGGAGCTGAGCAGGGAGGAGAAGAAGCTGGAGAGGAGACTGAGGGAGGAAGATGGCAGGATGGGGAGCCAGAAGGAGACCTGGAGGAGGCCAGTGGAGCAGAGAGACATGTGGAGAAGCTGCACTGGCTTCTTGGTCCTTAACTGGGTGACACAGACATGGTGATGGAAGGTGCTGTAGACTTGAGGCAATCTTCCGGGCCTTGCTTTGGACCAACCCTGTGTGACTGGACATTTACCTGAAGGAGATGGGTAACTTTGGGTGCTAGATTTGGAAGCTATATTCTTTGTCTTATCTGTTTTGCACCCTAATTGCATTAAAGTTCCTTTCTATTAAAGGTTTATATGTTTTGGCTTACTGTGGTAGAGCGGGCAGGATTGGGGGTCTGGCATACAACTTTCCCTACCCTGTAACAGTTATATACTTTAAATGTTAAAATTGCACATCAGTTTTGATATGTAAATGCTCTGTTTAGTTTCAAAATGAATAATTCAAACATTATACTGAATCTGAAATAATTCACTAAGTAATTCAAGAACAAATTAACTATGTTATTCATGGTTTTAGTGACTTTTTTTTTTTCAATTCAATACCCAGTCCCTGTGGTGTGAATGATTGTGATCATCATCATTATTACCATCTCATAAGTAATAGCTAGAAACAGAGAATCCCAAAATGATTGGATAGTTAAGAAACCAACTGTTGACTAGTATGAGATCAAAAGAACTTGGAAAAAGCTGACATTAGTCATAAAAGTGAACCCCAAGTATTTGGACCCTGAAATTCACACAGGCTCAGTCCAAATCTTTACTTTAGCCAGTGAAAACCCTGAGCAGAGAGCACAGCTTTACCATGTCCAGTGTCCTAAGCGGTAGAAGATTTGGGATAGTCACAAAGCAAAGTAAACAAATACAGAATTTGGTACTTGGGAAAAAGTCACTGCTGCAATAATAAAAATGTGAGTGACTTTGTAACTGAGAAATTGGTAGAGACTGGAAAAAATTAAGAAGTATGAAAGAAACAGTCTCAGTGTCTCTGGATAAAATGTTCAAAATCTGGACTTGGAAGATGGTGCCATAAGGATTCAGAAGGAAATGAAGGGCATTCTACTGAAAACTTGAAGAGATAAATCCGTGATGCAACACAGAATAGTAAAATCGTGTCCTGTTGAGTGGAATCAGAACATGTTCATGAAGAATATGGATATCTTATTAAATGTAAAAGTATTGCCTGATTTCTGCTTAATTATCAGAGTAATACTGAAGAGGATAAACAAAAATAAAATGAAGGAAGAATTGCTAAATAAAAAGAAGCAAAGCTATATGGTTTTGAAAGTTAGTGACTGTTCAAAGTGGAAAAAAAGGTAGATGATCTAACGGGACAACCATTAGCTAACATCTTGGTAAGATCAAAGATCAAAAATTTAGTTACACTAAGTTTCTTTCAAGAGTTGAAACCTGATTTTCTCCATCAAAAAAAAGGTAGCACAAGGGTTACAAAAGGTTGATGCAGAACTCTCCATGGTCAAACAGGAAAAAAAGAAGAAGAAAAAGAAGGAGGAGAAGAGGAAGGAGGAGGAGAAGGAGAAGGAGAAGAAGAAAAGCCAACATTTCAGGGCCCCCCCTTCCATTTACCATTTCCTTAAAAATGAAAATATCTGCAATTCATTCCCTGTGCCTGTCCTGCCACTACAGATGGCAGTGCTGGAAGTAGGTAACTTCCTAACTCATGGATAAGAACATGCTCCTCCAATCCATTCCATAGATTCCACCAGGCCCTTCATCTGCACCTAAGCAGAATTCAGATTGTGAGCTGCTGCTGTTGCAAGGCAATGAAACTCTGGAGATCCTGGGAGGGGCCCATGCAATTTGCATTTCAGAAAGCAAAGTAGATCAGAGCCAAGGAGATCCCCACTCCTTGTTAAGCATGTCCGCTTGAGTGTGGGTCAGATCTCAAAAAATGGCAGGTTTTCAGCCCATGGTTACCTTACGCTACGACCCTATACTAGACTGAGTGTAACAGGGCCGATTCTCTGGAGAGTTCTCAACAGGTAGGTCTCCATGATTGCTTAAGACTGAGGACCAACTCTGAAAGCTGAGGGAGATCGTGAGTAAGGGCAAGAAATCAAGCCACAAGTCCTAAAAATTCACTGTACTAAATTCTGCAATTAAAAAATAAAAACCCTGAGTCTCAGACAGGATGAGCCTTAGTGAACTCACTGCTCAGCCTTATAAAAGTCAGCTAACCAAGTCTGGAGCCATTACACACAGAAACCAGTGAGCTGACAAAATGGCATTTCAATCCAATACATGTGTGCTCACTTTTCACAAAGCACTTGCAAACTAAAAATCATTCAAAAGTGACATGAGGAATCAGTGATTTCCAAATTCAACTTTTTGACTTGCATAATAAAGTGTAAATCCATTTATCTTCCCAAACCCACTTTTTGCCCTCTGTGTTAGCCTTTCATGAGTGTTAATCATTATCAGTATAATTAAATATATTTTTGCATATTTAAGTTTTTCACACTGAAATATAGGAAATGTGAATATTTACAACAAAATGGGTTGACCAAATGGAATTCATTCTGCATTCTGAGTTTAAAAAAAAAAAGCCATTTTACTCTGAAATTCTTTTGTAGTCTATCTGCACTGGTCATTAGCATTTTCCTGACCTTTAACTCTTAGAATATAGAAACTGAGTCTATTCCATACATAAGGATTTCCAAAGAAAAATATGCAAACTCTGCACAAGCTGACTTTATACTTCCGCACAATAATGATAAAGTGGAATATTTTGACTGTATCGCATTGGAAATCATCAGTAAATCCACTACATAATATAATTAGGAGTGCAATGCATAAATAACCCTTTGCTCCTTGATACAAGGTGCTACTCCATTCATTAGGATAAGGGTCATTTGTAAGCCAATTTTGTTATTACCCTGAAACGACACTGTTGTTAAATTGTGATAAAGAGGAAACTATAAATTGGAAAAGAATTTTAATGGTCATTATCTTCATTAGCTAATGAGATGTGCTAATTATGTTGTTAAATGACAATGATTTAGTGGCCCTGG